AAAGTTACATATAATGTTTTACACAAAAATCAATGTCAAGTTTTCTACATAACCTGATATATATTTAAAAATAATCTCAAATTATGAAGAAAAGTCAGTTTACTAACTAATAATGTTTATAGATGGTTTTCAATGTATTAAAAACAAAACAAATATTACACTAACTAAAATATTTATTTATTAACAGTTGTAGTGCTTGAAACAGTATGATGTTGATAATATTAACTACACTTAATACAAACTCAAATAAAAAAAAACAGCGATATTAGCTCTTGTACAAAGGTTTGAACCGAACTTACAAATGATAAAATTATTGGAAAAAGTGAACACCCATTTTAAATTACCACAAGCCGTCACTGCTCTTCACATAGTAGACTGTGAAGAGTATTATAGGTTTACTTTCAGGAAACCAAAATTTTTAATATTCATCTAAATTTAAAAAAATTTGTATCAAAATGCTCATCAAATCTTAAAATGTCCGTCCGTCCGATGCCAAGTTTATTTGCCGCGTTTGAATATCCACATCCGATGCATTTTTTACATCTCGAGCGTTTGTTTATCCACATCGGACACATCTGTCTTACTATTGCTGCGTTTGAGAATCCACATCGGATGCATCTGAGATGTAAAAAATCTTTGATCACGTGATTCAGTATACGTAAATGTAATGGGACAGATGTGTCCGATGTGGATAAAAAAACGCTCGAGATGTAAAAAATGCATCCGATGTGGATTCTCAAACGCAGCATACATTTACTTATACTGAATCACGTGATCAAAGATTTACAACATCTCAGATGCATCCGACGCGCGACGTGGTTATTCAAACGCGGCATTTGTCTGCATGATAAGTCAAAAACCAAAACTGATATGATATTAAGGAGAAATCGATCTCTATATTGGTACGAAGCCTATTGATTTTGAAGAAAATTTGATTAAAAATGGATGGTTAAGGGGTGAAAGAAACTTTAAAAAAATCATAAAACAAAACCGAAAACAATATCTACTTGAAATTTTCAGGAAAAATCAAGCTCTGCAATAGAACGAAGCCTATTCATTTTTTTAAAAATCTAATTAAAAATGGGGGGTAAAGGAGAGTAAAATTTAAAAAAATTCATAAATCAAAAATGAAAAACAATATCAACTTGAAATTATCAGGAAAAATCAATCGCTGCAATGGGACGAAGCCTATTGATTTAAAAAAAATATGATAAAAAATTAAATGGGGTTAAAATTAAAAAAAAATCATAAATCAAAAACAGAAAACAATATCAACTGAAATTTATACTAAAAATCAAGCTCTGCAATGGGACAAAATCTATTGATTTTAAAAAATCTGAATAAAAATGGAGGGGTTAGAAATTAAAAATTTAAAAAAACCGACTTCAAAAACGTGTAGATGTCATCACCACATCTTAACCAAATTTATTGGGACCATCCCTGAGGTACCCCTTACTAACAAAAAAATAATCATATAAATCGGACAAGGTGGTAAAGCATTATCGCTAAACATACATAAAACAAGTGTTTGAGGATTTTTTTATACCCAATAATTAGATTTTGACAAAATTTATATGGGACCACCCCTGAAGTAGCCCCTTTCTAACAAAAAAAGAATTATTGAAATCAGACACCGTATTAAAGAATTATCGCTGAACATTATTATACATTGATAATTATTATTAATATTATTATTATACATTGATAAAGGCTGAGGACACAAGTCCTATGATAGCCTAAAAACAAAATAGACAAATTCTAACAAAGTAAACACACTGAAACAAAGAGATAACACTAAAAAATTAAATAAAAATGTTAAATAAACAAACTTATTTTTAAAGACATTAACTGTTATGGCACCAACAACTTCGTCGCTGAGGTCGTTCCATACATTAAATACCCGGTTGGAAAGGAATGATTGTCTGTATTTCGTTTTTAGGTTTTCCTTTTTTAATTTTAGTTCATGACCACGTAGACGACAGTCAGTATTTAACAAAAAAATATCAGATTTCCGTAATTATATTTTAGTATTCTAAAAGTGAGAATTAAATCCCCTCGTAGTCGACGATTCGCAAAAGTTGGTAAATTTGACAATTGTAGTCTTTCTGCATATGATGGTCGGACTGCTCCAAAGGTCATTCTGGCAGCCCGGCGTTGAACATTTTCTAAAAGGTTCTGGTCTCGCACAAGAAGCGGACACCAAACTACACCTGCATATTCAAATAAAGGTCGAACATAAGTCTTAAATAATTTGATGGATGTATGAAAGGATACCTTTGCAAAAGTCTTTTGAAGCAAATATAACATCGAATTTGCACGTTTACATGTTTTTAGAATGTGTTCAGACCATGTTAGTTCTGACGTCACTAAAACACCTAAAGCTACATACGAAGACACTTGCGCCAAATTATGGCTACCGAGCGAGTAACGTAGACGTGGATTGTTTTTGCCGATATGTAACACCACGCACGTGTTTTTATTTAACGGGAGAAGCCAGTCCGAGCACCAATCACTTATTGAATTTAAGTCAGCTTGAATATTATTGTAGTCTACTAAGGGGTTTCCGTAAAATTTTGTGTCATCTTGTCCCATTTATATGATTCTTTTTTGTTAGTAAGGGGGTACCTCAGGGGTGGTCCCATTAAATTTGGTTAAGATGTGGTGATGGCATCTGCACGTTTTTGAAGTCGGTTTTTTTAAATTTTTAATTTCTATACTAAACTTGTAAACAATAACAACTGATGCAACAATTAATCTTACGTGACAGATTGAAAATACATTTTTGTTTGTCTCATTTTCATGACAACGAGGTATACTGATGTTACATTTTTTTGTAGAGATAATACCAATATTTAGGATTTCAAAGTATACCAATAAAAAAAAAAGCGTAAAGTATTCGTGGATAACTGCTCTTTAAAACACTTGCTCTATTTCGAGCACTCCGGCTGCACCGTCGTGCTCGAAAAATCGCGCGTGTTTTAAAGACCGTTATATTCACTTATACTTTAATATACTATTATAACTCGAGTGCGATATGACCATCATGTCCCCTTTTGTTGCGAAAACTATTATGGGATTGTGAAGGAGAACTTTTCCGATATATTCAATGTTTCAGATGCAACCACTTCACAACCTTTGCATTGAGCTATAAAAAATTGTAATTGGCACGAAAAGTGGGTACATGAATTATTATTATTATTATATTATTATTATTATTATTATTATTATTATTATTATTATTATTATTATTATTATTATTATTATTATTATTATTATTATTATTATTATTATTATTATTATTATTATTATTATTATTATTATTATTATTATTATTATTATTATTATTATTATTATTATTATTATTATTATTATTATTATTATTATTATTATTATTATTATTATTATTATTATTATTATTATTATTATTATTATTATTATTATTATTATTATTATTATTATTATTATTATTATTATTATTATTATTATTATTATTATTATTATTATTATTATTATTATTATTATTATTATTATTATTATTATTATTATTATTATTATTATTATTATTATTATTATTATTATTATTATTATTATTATTATTATTATTATTATTATTATTATTATTATTATTATTATTATTATTATTATTATTATTATTATTATTATTATTATTATTATTATTATTATTATTATTATTATTATTATTATTATTATTATTATTATTATTATTATTATTATTATTATTATTATTATTATTATTATTATTATTATTATTATTATTATTATTATTATTATTATTATTATTATTATTATTATTATTATTATTATTATTATTATTATTATTATTATTATTATTATTATTATTATTATTATTATTATTATTATTATTATTATTATTATTATTATTATTATTATTATTATTATTATTATTATTATTATTATTATTATTATTATTATTATTATTATTATTATTATTATTATTATTATTATTATTATTATTATTATTATTATTATTATTATTATTATTATTATTATTATTATTATTATTATTATTATTATTATTATTATTATTATTATTATTATTATTATTATTATTATTATTATTATTATTATTATTATTATTATTATTATTATTATTATTATTATTATTATTATTATTATTATTATTATTATTATTATTATTATTATTATTATTATTATTATTATTATTATTATTATTATTATTATTATTATTATTATTATTATTATTATTATTATTATTATTATTATTATTATTATTATTATTATTATTATTATTATTATTATTATTATTATTATTATTATTATTATTATTATTATTATTATTATTATTATTATTATTATTATTATTATTATTATTATTATTATTATTATTATTATTATTATTATTATTATTATTATTATTATTATTATTATTATTATTATTATTATTATTATTATTATTATTATTATTATTATTATTATTATTATTATTATTATTATTATTATTATTATTATTATTATTATTATTATTATTATTATTATTATTATTATTATTATTATTATTATTATTATTATTATTATTATTATTATTATTATTATTATTATTATTATTATTATTATTATTATTATTATTATTATTATTATTATTATTATTATTATTATTATTATTATTATTATTATTATTATTATTATTATTATTATTATTATTATTATTATTATTATTATTATTATTATTATTATTATTATTATTATTATTATTATTATTATTATTATTATTATTATTATTATTATTATTATTATTATTATTATTATTATTATTATTATTATTATTATTATTATTATTATTATTATTATTATTATTATTATTATTATTATTATTATTATTATTATTATTAGTTTTTAATTGATCGGTAAATATTTTGAGATATTTTTGCATATTGTCCAAGGTATTCTCGTACTCGTATAAAAATAATGGCAATGAAGCTGAAAAAATAATTATTTACCTGATCAACTGTAGCTTTAAAATTCCTGACATGAGTAACAACATCATCTGCTACTACTTTAGGCCACCCGTGTTGATTTTGGGGATTCGATAGTACAGGGACAAAGACTCCATCTAAAATAGCAGCCAACTCCTCTACAGGCCTTGCGGCCATATCACCAAAGACTAACACATCTCTAAAACTATTCACATTTTCTACTTTTTCTTCCTTTTTTCGTATAAAGTATGTAAATTTCTGCTTAATATCTTTGTTAAACGAATTATAAACAACCAAAGGACCTCCCAGGAGCACTGTTAATATCATCATTTTTTCTTTAGGATCATTGAAAAAATTTGCTATTATTTTCTGAAAAATAAAAGACGTTTTTTTTATGAATATATTACACTGGAAAATATTGTCCCCTCAAAAGCAAAGAGTCTTTTGTATAAGTTAATTTATGACCATTTAAGCGAGAACGACTACGGTGCCGCATTTATTTGCGGGCCAATTTTGTGGCAAAAGAGACACCGGCTTCGAATCCTACGGAAGACCATGTGAATTTATTTGCATGGTTCTCTACCCAGACAACACACCAAATCCCAGAGATATCCATAGAATATCTTTTGTGGATATCCAATATATCCACAGGATATCAGAAATATTCCGTGGATCTAATATGGATATCCAAATGTCCGTCTATATCCAGAATATAGAAGATATCTCTATGGATATCCAGCAAAATATCTAATGGGTATCTCCAGACAATACAAGAAATCCCAGAGATCCACAGAATATATTTTGTGGATATCCAATATGGATATCCAACCAAATGTTCGTCTATATCCCAGGATATAGAAGAATTCGGATATTCACCAAAATATTTTATGGATATCTTTAGTAGATGTTCATAAGTAACCAATAATTATTGAATAACGTCGAAAGAAAATAGCAGAGATAAAAAATATTTTCAACACTAAAAATAATTTCAACACTCTGCCTTTGATTTTGCCTACTAAGGAGAAAGTCATCCTTATTAGGACTCTTCAGCAATAAATGGAAATTCTCGACTCCAGTCTCTAATGGAATCTGACTGATCTACAAATTACGATCGAACTCAATTACGGCGGGTTGAGCATGAGCACGAGCGAAAGTGGTATCGCCATCTATACTTAGTAAGCAAAATCAAAAATTATATCTAGTGGATATCCACGATGGTTTGCGTTCGCGCCTAGACTTTGATATATTTAGTGGATGTCCATGGGATATTGAATACACCTTAAAAAAATTAATTTTAAATATCTGAACGGTACTATTAGCCACAATGGCGTAATTTTTTAATAATTTGCTATATAATTACTATTATTTATGAACATTTGCACGTCTCTAAATTAAATCTCATGGATATAAAATAGATATCCACCATGGGACTGGACATTCAGTGGATATTGGGATGTTCAGTAGATATCCAAAGGATTTGGTGTGCTGTCTGGGTATAGGATTTGATGGATGCCATAATACCAGAAATTGAATTTGTTGATATGACATCCAGATTATAAAAATCGTTACGCTTTACCGTTTTCGATGATGGTGAGTAGGTTTTTCCGGGTTTTCCTCACCTGTAAGTGAAATGACACAACAATCATCCTCAAGTTGCCCCGGAACGCCACGATAAATAATAATAATAATAGCGTCCCTTCACCTACACAAGTCACTCAGTCGGCTCTAGGGGTTGAAATTTACTCGTAAGGGGGTGAATTAGGAAGAGTGTTATTATTATTAAAATAACATTAATCCGCTGCTGTACTATATCTACTATTTGTACTATTTGTGTACTATTTGTGTACTATTTGTGTACTATTTGTGTACTATTTGTGTACTATTTGTGTACTATTTGTGTACTATTTGTGTACTATTTGTGTACTATTTGTGTACTATTTGTGTACTATTTGTGTACTATTTGTGTACTATTTGTGTACTATTTGTGTACTATTTGTGTACTATTTGTGTACTATTTGTGTACTATTTGTGTACTATTTGTGTACTATTTGTGTACTATTTGTGTACTATTTGTGTACTATTTGTGTACTATTTGTGTACTATTTGTGTACTATTTGTGTACTATTTGTGTACTATTTGTGTACTATTTGTGTACTATTTGTGTACTATTTGTGTACTATTTGTGTACTATTTGTGTACTATTTGTGTACTATTTGTGTACTATTTGTGTACTATTTGTGTACTATTTGTGTACTATTTGTGTACTATTTGTGTACTATTTTGTATTATTTGGTACAAAGTCGGTAGGGTTTCATAGTATTCCCATTTGGCAGGCGTTGGTGACCTAGAGAAAAATTAAGCAACGATTTTTTTAAGGTCATCATGTGAATTTTAGAAACTGCGACTTTTTTTTACACCTCATCCTAATTTTTATCTATTTCTGTTCTATTTATGTACAATTTGTGTATTATTTCAGTGCTATTTGCGTACTTTGTGTACTAATTGCGTATTTTGGGTACTATTTGCGTATTTTATGTACTATTTGCGTACTATTTTTGTACTATTTGGGACAATGTGTACTAGTGCACAAAATTTTATCAGCGGTTTACCCACCGCATTAATCAAGTTTATGTGGAACGTGGAACTCGCACAAAACTGAGTAAAGAAATCGTATTTAAATCAAGGCAATAAAATTTTGTAGCCTGTAATATTAAGAAAGGTATTTTAACACTATTGATCTGTTAATCGATGATGACTAAAAAATTTAATTAATTATTGCGTTTTCATATCAAATTAGTCAACATTATCGGCCCTCATCACAAAATGCGATCTTCATACTTTGCAAACGAATCTCCTTTTGGAGTATACTTAAGTTATTTTTTACTATGGTACAAAAAATCAAAAAATAGTAAGATAAACAATTCATACCATATATTCTTCGGTCATTAACAGTTTGTTCCATTTGTCCTGCTTTAGCTTTATGGATTTGGTGAGGTATGACAAGATAAATTCCAACCTCTCGTCCTGGTCATTCATATTATTTGAGGACGATGAGTTTTAGATTATTTGCCCGTTTGACCGCGTCAAACTAACGTCAACATTTTGGTGTAAACACTTCGCTAAGCAACGCGAAGAATAAAGGCTTAAAGGTGTTAGAGTAGTTACCAAAGTGTGATCAATATTATCACTAACTTTTCATTTAACGCGATTATTCATTTTATATTAAATGAACGCGTTGTTTTTAATTGAAGAATGGACTTAGTTTCCTTTGTCGTCTTTTAGAATTATATAATAATAACTATTATTATTTTGGCGTGTACCTTCAATAATATATGCAACACACTTTCAGAGTTATGTCTTTCTCATATACAAACGCAACATACAAGTGAGTCTAATATATGGAGCGTAGAGGACACTCCATAGTCTAATCTAATCATCAATAAACGATTTAACGAGCCGTATGTTTTTTGCTTCTGTCACAATCGCATATTAGTTACTGTTTAGAGGATGAAGTACCCTGAAATTTTTAATTTGTCAATTTGACGTTTCCTTTCAAACCGTGATGATATTCTTGGTCATTAGGTTTCAATACTAATAGATATAAAATAACGACAATAAAATAAAACTTAAAGCTATGTGTCACAGTAATACAGCGGTCGTTTCTCTCCTGAAAACAACTATTCCTTTGGCTAATACCTCACCAGGCATTGAATTGCATCAAAAGAAAACAGCAGAGATATAAAATTATTGTCAACGCTCTACCTTTGAGTTTGCTTCCTAAGGAGAACGTCAATTTTATGCCCTCTTCTTTTTGTCATCTGTAATACATCACAGCTGCCGCTCGTTTTAAAATATTGTGAATCTCATACTTACGCAGATGACACTCAACTGTACTTTTCCTTCCAAAGGGAAAGTATTCGGGAGGCTTGCGTAAAAATTGATGCTGATCTCATCTCTCTTGCTAAACTTTCTGACAAATAATATTGTTTAAGTATAAATCCAATGAAATGTGCAGTTGAGTTATGTGGGCGTGTTGAAGTTAGGTAAACGTTTATTAATGTGACGTTTGTTTAATTTATTTATAGTTTATTTATTTAAAACACACTACACTATTTACAATTTATTAATGACGTATTAATTAATTTATATAATACTTAGGCACTATTATAATTCAAAATTCTAATTTATTTCAATGTATCTTTTCTGTCCAATACTTAAATTCAATCCCCGTCCGTCGACAACTCGCGCTATTTATACAGGGTGAGTCGGGAGGAGCGCACCAAACTCTAGGAGTATATTATACACGTGAAAATAATGTAAAAAAACCACATACTTTGATTTTCTTTTACTATACGGAGAATGATCGCATTGCGCAGCTTTCTGAGTGCCTTTTAAAAGGAGATAGAAAACTCCGCCATTTTGAACCCTTATTACGTGTTGCCTACATCTTGGTGCAATATTTTTAATAGGTGTGTTTTAATCATCCGCTTCTGCTTCGGAATTGTCGGTTTTCTTATTTTAATCTGACAGGTTAAAACGACTAAACCGACAATTCCGGAAGCAGAAGCGGATGATTAAAACGCACCTGATATTTTGCTTGCTGCTGTCAGTGTCAGTGAATATTATTTTTGAAGTCACAGTTTATTGCTAAAGAATCAGTTAGCTCACTCGGACCAGTTGAAATTTCCAAAATACCATCCACTCCAGGAATACAAATTCCGGATACGCAGAAGACTGCTGTTTTATTATAGGCGGTTGTCATATATTGTATTATCCGAGTTGCACAGTGTATAAACTGAAACATTGAGATCAAAAGTGCCGACGCAGAGTGAGCGATCTGATTCTTTAAGCCTTGGTTTTTTTGAACACGTCGACCGCTGAGGACAGCAATTTTCGCCCGAGGTGGTTTGTTAAAAAATATAGAAAATGATACTTTCTCTAGGTCTGTACGTGCTGTTTTTGTATTATGAATGTAAACGAAAGGTACTAAAATGGATGCAAATAAATTGTTTGCGTTGTTATTATTGTTGGAAGACGAAGAACAAGAGGAACTGGCAATTGCAACCGTCAAAGTTTCCAATAAGCCAGTGGATGAGTTGTTTTTATGTCGCGATACAGAAGGTGCCTTTAATATCACTGTGCAGCGGAGGCTTTTTGGAAATGAAACCAAATCTAGAGAGTATTTTAGACTTTCTACAGATCTTTTTGAATTCGTTTTGAGTTTTATAAAGGACATAATTTCCAAGAAACCTAAAAATAAAGTCATGATGTCATCTGTATGTGTGAATTTGTCACTCATTGTTTTAAAATTAATAACAATATAGTCTCCGCACACGCCGACGATTCCGCTGATATCAAACTCAACAGATATCAACCGACTCTTCTCGACAAATCAGCGGCATGACGCCGTGCTGCTCAGCTAAGCGGATTCAAGAAAACCATTCCCATTTAAATACTCTGGTTGGATAAAATCGTCAAAACGCGACGGTTGATGGACTGTCCGCTCACCGCGACGAAGTGTTCAAAGAAACCAAGGCTTTAGCTGTAAACTGTCACAGGGATCAAAATGGCCGCGCCCTATGTTGTGCGTGTCGGACCTCTCTCTTGCCTCGTATAGTAATCAAAGTATGTGAAAAAAACTCAAATGTTCTTATCCGATTTTCATATGTTTTCAAGTTATGGCGTAATTAAAAATGTTCATCTAGCTTTTCACTTCGTTATGTTGGATAAAGTCACATATTGGAATTAAAAATAACGAAATTGTAGATGATTTGGCAAAAAAAGGAACTGATGATAATATCATCATAAATTCATATCAAGTCCCAAGAGGCGATTTAAATTGCTATATTAAATTATTTGAAATAACTAAGTGGCAAGACAATTATAACTGTTCAGACAAAGGTCAATTTTTTAAAAACATTCAAAGCAAGATACCCTCCATACCATGGTTTAGCAAATTCAGCAACAGAAGTTTTATTAGAACGACTTGTAGAATTAGAAGTAATCATTGCCTGACTCCAAATTATAAAAGAAGAATGGGATTGGTAGACAATGATGAATGCATCTGCGGCGAGGTAGCCGATTTACAACATTTACTTTTAGAATGTATTTTAAATGATATTCACATATCAAATCTATATACCAAACTTATTCAACATAATGTCCAACTACCTATTAATTTGTCACACCTTCTCGCCCTCAAGAATTTCGATGTATACAAAATTATTTATAATCATGTAAACTCCTTAAATTTAAAGCTCTGACGAAAATAATTAAAATATGTAGCAAAATAAAAAATAATATAAAAAAACTAAAAAAAAAAAACAAAATTAAAACAAAAAAAACAAATTCAAAAAAAAGAAAAACAAACAAAAACAAGTAAAAAACAAAAACAGACGAAAAAATCAAAAACAAGCAAAAACATGAGCTAGAAAAAACCTATTATAGGATTTACTTCTTAATAATGTATTTAGAGAAATTTGTATTTTTCAAATAAAATGTGAACTGTGAAATATTGTAAGGATAGAACTTAAAATTGAATTAACACAAAATAAACTTTATTAAAATTAATTAAAGATTGACTGGCCAGTTGGTTTTGAAACCAGTGCCAAACAGAAATACATACACACTTCTGAATTTTAACATTATCAAAGTATGCCATATGTTCAAGGCTTCAAAGGCATTTGATAATTCTGACGTTTTGATGAACTGTCAGTGTACAGTGAACAGTAACTGAACGTTTAATTTCGAATTTATGTGATTGTTAGTGTTGCAAAATGCCAGATACTTATTCAAATTTAGAATATGCAAATATGGTGTTTGTTTATGGTTTCTGTAATGGAAATGCTACAGCTGCTGCTGAAGAATATCGTCAACGTTTTCCACACCGAAGACATCCTGATAAAAACGTATTTATTAGAGTTTTCAACAAATTGTGCGAGACTGGTAAGCTTCCCAGTGCTTTCATAACATCTGAACGCGCTACTCGACAAGGTTTTGTAGAATTAGAAAATATTCTGCATCTAGTAGAAGAAGATGCAACTACTAGCTCACAAAGAATTGCCACTCAATTGGGAATTCCACAAAAAAGAGTGATAAACACACTCCACGAGCAAGGCTTATATCCTTATCACGTACAGAGAGTACAGCACCTACAACCACAGGATTACGCTAAACGTATGGAGTTTTGTCGGTGGATAAATTTTATTTTTTATTTATTTTGTTTGGAACACAAACAGGACATACCCAAAAAAGTGTTCCCAATGCTTCTTACATAATGGGTTTAAACTAAACAACTTTAACCTAATTAATAACAAAATATTATTACACTAGATACGAAATAAATGTGAAATAAGAAATAAGAGAACAGAAAAAATACTAAAGTTATTGCATTATTAAATAATAATCATCGTGTTGTATCGAGTATACTCTTTACGGATGAAGCTACATTTACCCGTGATGGCATTAATAATACTCGTAACTATCATGTATGGTCAGACGAAAATCCCCACGCAACAGTCGAAAGCAATTGTCACCATCGGTTTTCTGTAAACCTGTGGTGTGGTATGGTTGACAGTTATTTAATTGGCCCTTTCATTTTGGAGAATCGTCTCACAGGAGACAACTACCTCAATTTTTTACAAAATGAATTACAAGGCCTGCTAGAGGATGTTCCTGTAAATATTAGAATGCAGATGTACTATCAGCACGATGGAGCTCCTGCACATGTCGCTCGTCAGGTCAAGCAACATTTGGACGAACGTTTTCCAGGGCGTTGGATTGGTCGTGGAGGTCCTATTAATTGGCCTGCAAGATCTCCAGACCTCACACCATTAGATTTTTGTTCATGGGGCTGAATGAAAAATGAAGTTTACAAAATAAAAGTGGACACACGGGATGCACTAATTAGACGAATTGAGAATACTGCAGCCCATATTAAAGAAGAAAGAAATGAATAAATTGGGAGAGCAACAAACGCTCTTCGTAGACGAAGCAGAAAATGTTTAGAAGTCAATTGCGGTATTTTTGAACATTTATTGAAAGAACGCTATGATTAAGAGAATTTTTATGTGTAAATTTGTTTATTTGTTAATATGCTATAACTTGAAAACAAATGAAAAT